CAAGCTACTTCATGTAATGGTGTACTGGTATTCTCATACCATAATCGATCACATATATCTAAACAATATACATGAATGAATGGATGATCAAAATAATGATATCACAATAGATAGTAGAAAGCAAAATTACATAATATACATATCCACTTACATACCAATATCTAAAGATGACTGAACTGACTGCTGCAACTCTTGTGATGCTGAGAACTATTTAAAAAATAAAATTATTTGATATTAAAAGATAATTACAAACCTTTCTTAGATCATATTGATAATCACCACATGTTAGTTCAGTGATACCAATACTAGCTAACTGTTGCTGTATCTCAGTAGATAGAGGAAACAATGCAGAGTATAGGTAATCAGGAATATTATGTAGCAGCTGTAGAGACCCAATACGAACAAAACTAAAGTATAGATTAACATCAGGAATATTTAGTTCTTTTGGTATTGCTCGACGAAAGAAGAAAAGGTCAGCTGGTGTGTAGTCATCACGATCAACTTTAGCAATCATTACTTTTGTACCAGGAGGAACATCTCTTATACCAAATTCTAAAGCATTAGCATCAATTAATAAACCATCACTGTTAAGAAAATAATCCTTCAATTTCTCCTCGTAACCTGACCACTTCTTCTTTAATGAACGATTGTTAGGTAAGAATACAATAACAAGTTTAACTATTAGTTCATAGTTGAACCATGATACATACTTCTGTTGTAAAACCATGAAAAGATCTTCTATACTTTCAATGTCACATAGCTCTTCTTTAATTCCTTGCATTGCAGCTTCATTATTTTTGTTTGGACCAAGTAAAGCATGCACACGTGTCTTAAGATAATCGATAACTTTTGAAAGGAGTTTAGGCTTAAATGCATCTCTTGTTTCATTAAGAATATCAGAAAAATCCCATTGAAAATTGTATATCTCGTTTAGAAGACGAACATCTTTCACAGGAAGAGCATAAATAGAATCTATAAAAAAAGAATAACTGTAATGAAGATGCCACAATGATCAATGTGAATCATATGAATTTCACTAAAGGTAACCTCCAAAATTAACATTCATTATCAATGCATGTGGTCTTATTGTTACATGTATGGAAATGGAATGTGAGTGACTGCACCAGTGTATAATATGAATAATGATTAAATTTAAATGATTTATTGTTACCGTACAGCACAAAATTTTTGAGAGCTGTAAAATTTTCAAGTCATAAAGATTCACAAAGCTTATTTCCACTAATTATTTCTTACATCAGACAGTGTAATTTAATCTGCGAGATAAATTTTTTTGCAAACCTGCTGTGCTTTCTCCTCCAGTAGATGCTGATAGAGGATGCTCACGGGCTATGTCTTGAGCTAGTGCTGGATCACCTCCTCCTTCTTTAACAGCTACACACACTCTCCTCCAACATGGAGAACCAAAGGACTCATAATTGTAATCCTTCTTTAACCAGTGCTCCAAAACTTTGTGCAGACATGACTCACTACTACTACCACAATCAGCTTCAATGATGCTAATAGTAGCTGGTCTTATGTACAGCGAGTTAGCAAATTGCTTCCAACGTGCAGCAATGGCTTTAACTTTATTATAAATGACATTAAGATCATCAATACCTAGGGATACAAAAAGGACTGTGACAATCATAACCTTATTAACTTACAGAGCACTTTACTGCAAACATTTTCAAAGCTCTGAACCATAGAAGCCATAGTTGTTTGTGCGTCTTTTTTGCAAAAGGAACACTTCCACGCCCACGCACTTGGGTGGGGCTGGATTAATTATCAAAAGGTGTGGCTTCTCAATGATTAGCTAGGTGTCCAGTAGCTTACCGGTATCTCAGTACATCTCTGAGTGTATCTGCAGTTCACAGGCTATGCAGGTAATACAATACAATATAGAATAAATCATCAGCACTTGGTGGCATTCCTTCAAGATGGTCATTTTCTACTGTATTATAATT